TTGCAGGGAGAGAGGAGAAGTTCTGGGCTCCGTGTAGATGTGTTTGCCCCTTCGAACCACAACCCTAGATGGCCCCATTTCTGACACCAAAGAGGCCACTTCCAAACAGTCCTTGCTCTCCCTGCTACACTGAGGCTGCCTTTATCGGCTTCTCTCACCTGTAGCCATCGCTTCTGCACTTTAATTTGTTGCCTCCAACCTGCAGCTAGAGGATGGGCCTTCAACCCGCGTTACTGCTACCTGTGAACCCAGAGTAGCCAGGCTCTGCGGAGAAAGGGGACCGGCTAGATAGGATAAACGAGTCGAACATTTGTGTTTTTGCTCTGCTTGGCTGCTGTGTGGACAGAGACCCCCGAACCAGGCTGAATGAAGGCCCCATCAGTCCATCATTCACGGATGCCTCCCTTCCTTCTTCAGATAGTGATGCTCCAGGTACGTCCCAGGTACTGTTCTTTGCACAACGTGGTCTGAGCCAACCATGGCCCCTGTCCTTGAAATTTTGGTCACAAGACATTTGTGCCCTCCCTGGAGACACGCGAGGATAGACACCGGTGCTCAGACAGGAACACACACATGGGCACATGTGCGTGCTTGCAAACACGTGTTCTACCCATGGGGCAGTGCATTCCACGAGTTAACTGTGCAACAACGCTGGGGAGCACTTGAGGCTGTTGGGGGGCTAAAGGAGACCTCGGTCTCTATCCCCTGCTCTATTCCAGGACAGCGTCGCATGGCGAGGGGCCAGAACAGATGTCAGGAGCCCCCGACTCCAGCCCCTGCACCCCAAGAGACTCCTGGTGTGATCGTGATGTCGGGGGAACCCCTTCTTCTCTCCGGATATTTGTTCCTCCACCCCAAATAAAACTGTATCCCCGGCTCCCCGAGGACTATTCGAGCCAAGTCACTCTGACTCCTGAAGTAAGAAGGCTACACACAGCATGAGTTACCGTGTGTTGCGTGTCTAGCCCCTACTCCGTGGTTTACAGGTGCGACTTCATCCTCAGCAGAGGCTGATGAGGGAGGTGCTGCTTTTCCGTATATGAAGAACTCAAACACGTTAGACCCCACAAATAAAAGGCCCACTCAAAAGATGGGCGGCTGAAATGAACACACACTTCTCCGAAGAAATACAAATGGCCAATAAATAGATGAAGAAATGTCAACATCGCGGGCCACAGAAATGTAAATTAAAACCATACTGAGATTCCGTCTTGCTCCAGGAAGAACGGCCATGATCAAGAAACCAAATAATAATACCTGTGGCACGTCTGCAGGGGAAAAAGGAGCCCTTCCGCATTGTTGGTGGAAGTGTAAACTACTACAACCACTACGGAGATTCCTGGAGAAACTAAAGCTAGAAATCCCGTTCAACCCAGCTGTTCCCCTTCTAGATCAGCCCCAAAGAGGTAAAAACATCACATCACAGTGATAATGCATGCTTGTGTTTATATAAACACACTTCACAGTAGCTAAATCTTGGAAGCAGATGAATGGATCAACAGATGAATAGATAAAGAAAATGTGTTTACACACTGTGGAGTACCACTGTGTCACCAAGAAGGAGAAACTTGAGTCACCTGTGAGAAAATGGAATCACCTTGAGACCATAACATTAAATAAAATAAATGAGATGCACAAACTTAAATGCTCTGACTTGAGAAACCCAAAAAAAAAGATAAAGAGCAAAATAAAAGATAGCTAAAAGGAAGCAGGGAGATAGATTTTGTTCAAATGAGAAAAAAAAAATCAAATCAAGAGATAAGACAGTAGGAGATGAAAAAAGAATTAAGATGTGTTGTGTACGTGTTGCCAGTTCCACACAGGAACATGATCATTATCTGCTGCAAACATGGACGAATAAAAAACAGAAACTGAGCAAAGCTAAGGTAATGAAGTAGCCCGTCCCAGTTTATGCCCGCTGAGATTCAGGCCCAGGCCACTGGACTCAGTCCATACTCTGAGCCACTGACACGCTGGGCTTCTAGCACCCAAGCATCCATGGTCCTGAACTCCAGGTTCCTAAACACTCGCACCCCGGCGCCTCCACTGAGGCCCTTTCTTGGCCTCTGCCCAGCACCACTGCTCTCATGGGGTGTGGGAGAGCAGGAAGCGGGGGGCTGGGCCTCCAATGCCTTGAAACAGGAGGCAAGCTGACACCCGAGGTCCCGGGCACAGCTCCCCTGCACGTTCATCTGGCACCAGCGGGCAGATGGCTATTGCTGGCCAGTCTTGCCAGCCTACCAGCTGGCCCGGAGCACCCGGTGGCTGGCACCTCGGCCCCTCGGATGGGCTGCCAGCCCGCCTCCCACAGGCCTGCAGCTGGCAGCGAAGAGCAGATGGGCTGGCCGTTGGGCCATGGGTTCTCCGTGAAGCTGCCAGCTGGCTCTGCTGTGCCTATGTCTTGGCACCTCTGGGCTGGTGTTGGTGGGCAGGAGGCTGACGTGCTGGCTACCCATGGATGGGCAGCTGTCCCTGGCAGCAGAGAGGAGGGATCCTCAGTCCCTTCCTGGCTGCTCCCTTAAATGTCCTGGGGTCTGGTCCATTGGGGACTGAAGCCAGAGTCGCCCCTCTGTCACCCTGGGGATCTGCAATGAGGACAAACTTCCTCTCCCAGCCTTGCTGGGATTTACATTGATGTCACAAGTGCTGGCTACTTAGGGATAGGTCACAGCCAGGGAAGCGATGTCCCCTGGCAGGCAACCCAGCCTCTGCCAGCTCCTCCTTGGCTCCCCAGAAATCTCGCCGCCTGTTCCTCCTCCACCAGGCTACTTCAAAGGCTCAGCGTCCTCAGCTGCCAGGAGACTGGATGCAGGGAGGACTGGCATCCCAGCAAGGTGCTTTGGAGAAGCCCAGGAGAGGTGAGCTGCAGCCCCACGCATGCCCGTGCAGGCATGTGGACACGGACTCTGCCTACCTAGGACTTGGCTTCCCCATCTGTTTTTTACATTTCCCACTGTAAAGTGAACAGGTCGGAAGCAGATGGACCCTAGAGCAGCTCAAAGACTTCAAACATAAAGAAACAGGGAGGTTACAGGCATCCTAGTCACCCTGATGGACTATATCCGGGGCACCCTGTCCTGAACTATCCTTCTGTAGCCCGTGTACGATCACTGTGTGTTAAATGATTGGCTGATATGAACTCGGAAGTGGACCCTAAATATCCATTCATCCAATCAGAGAGACGAAGCGGAAGATCACTAAGAATCGATACATTCACCTATTCAGCCAGTCCCGTGGAGAGAAAAGCTCGGGTGTGGTTGAAGTTTTGAGGAATGGAACTCTCAAAGGCATGCATGGCAGGTGCTTCAATTCTTACAGCAGGTTGGCCTTCACAATGTGCCTGCTTACTTTTTTTTAATTGAGGTGAAATTCACGGAATAGAAAGTCAACCATTTCAAACAACTTAACAATGTCAGTGACCTTTAGTACATTCACGGGAATTTCAAAGCATTTCATCACCCCCAAAAGAAACTGCAGTCCATTAATGAATAGGTCCCTCACCACTACTCCTTTCCCGGCTCTAGGCAGCCATGAGTTTACTTTCTGTCTCCACAGGCTTACCTATTCTGGACAGTCCATAGAAACGGATCACCTCACCTTTTATGTCCGGCCCCTTTGCCTTCACATGAAGTTTCTTCTAGGTCCCTCTGGCGTGGTGCAGCACGTACACTGTAAAAATCCTTTTTGGGGCTGAATAATATTCCACTTTCTGGGCCTGCTTTTTCACCCTTTGATTTCGCTTCTGGAATTTATCCTGAGAAATGATCTTGAAGTTGCTGAAATAGCCCTGGGGATTGTTCTGGTGGTGCTATTCAGACGGCCACAAGATGAGACTGAAGAAATTAATTATGATTTATCTGTAGGATTTGATGCCCTCATCCTCAGTCACAGTGGAGTACTTCACAGCACTAGGAAATACTCACAATGTGTTGAAACGTTTCTCAAAGCGGATGACGTGACTGTAAGAGCCACGTGATCCTGCCTTAGTGCACTTTCTGTTAGAGCATTTGTTACTCACAGGGCACCCAGGGAGTGCAACACTGCACTGGCTGTGTACTATTAGGCAATTAATTTACTAAATAGAAGCCACCAGGCCCTGGTAGCTTACTGTACGGACTGTGTTGGAGTCCGACGGAGGATTGTGTCAGTTCCCCATCACTGGGACAAAACACCTGAGAGAACCAACTTGAAGAAAAGTTCATTCGGCTCCTGGTCTCAGAGGCTTTGGTCCACGGTCACTTGGCATCACCGTTTCAGGCCTGTGATGAAAGGAATACGATGGCAGGGAGAGTGTGCTGGGGTAAAGCTGCTCGCCTCACGGCAGCCAGGAAGCAGAGAGTGGGTGGTGACGAAATACACCCTCAGGGTAGCTATGCCCCCAGGAAGCCCTTCCTCCGAGGAAGGCCCCTTCCCTACAGCCTCCACCCCTTGACAACAGCACATTAAGCTGTGAGTCCTTCACCAGATGAATCCACAGATGAAGTCAGAGCCCTCAGGATCCGACTCAGCTCTGAGCGCTGCAGCAGCACGGACCAGGCTTTTACCAGACAAGGCCGGGGAGCCTCTCCCATCCGAGCCTCAGCGGGGTGGTGGGCAGGGGACGGAGGGCCGTGGCCCAGCAGGTGCAAGTTGCCTACATTGCAGCTGAGGGTCCCAGCAGACAATGCAGTGGGGGTGGTGATGACAAGTAAGCTTTCTTTCCTGTTTGTTATTTGCCTATAATATCCACCTTTTCTTTAATAAGCAAGCACATAACTTTTAGAATCAGGGAAAAGAATGCCGACTTGAAAGTTGCGGGCTTGTGAAGAGCCCGCTCCATAGCGTGCAAACACATATAATGGAAGTTTAAATAAAACTGCAGAATTTAAATGTTATAGACTCTCTGCTTACAATTATGTTTTTATGTATAAATAATACATAAAAGCTGCATAGAAACCCAGTGTCTTTGTGTCATGATTGGCATATAGTGATGGTTCAATAAATACAATAAATACCTGTTGGGTGAATGGATTATTTGTCCTCTTACATCTCCTCTCTCTCTCTTTTTTTTTTTTGTTGTTGCATTTTCCACATTTTCCCCAGAGCATGTGGTTCTTTCCCCTGTGAGACGAAACATTGCAGTGATTTTTTTTTTTTTAATTTTAGGCACAGAACATGTTCACAAGGTAAATAAACTTTAGTGAAAGGAGCTCAGTGAGGCAGGCTTGTGCAGAGCAACGGCTGCCTGATACTGGGCCTTCTGGCAGGTTGGCTGCTTCTCTTGTCCCTGGAGTGCTCTTTCTGTCGCAGGACCCCATTCACAAGAACACTGAGTGCGGTGGTGCACACTTGTAATCCCCGCACTCTGGGAGGCTGAAGCAGGAGGATCAAACATTTGAATGCAGGCTGGGCAACTTAGAAACTGTCTCAAACCTTTTACAAAATCAAATTAAATGAAAATTCAAGAAATTAAATTTAAAAAGAACTGGGAATGTAGCTTAGCACAAAGGCCCTGGGTTCTATCCCTAGTACCACAAAGAAAAAACAAAAAGATACTGATTTCCACGCAGGTGTTTCTCTCCTGCCCATCAGGGACCGAAACCACAGCCTTTCCAAAGGGTGAGTTCGGCGCCTGCAAACGCGTGGAAGGAACCTTGAAACTCCCATGTCCCGGTCTTTCCCACCCCTCTCCCAAGTGACAGATGAATAAACTGAGGCCCAGAGAAGCCAGAGACCCACCAGGACCCCACAGACCACCAGAGACAGAACAGCGACAAAAGTCCCTTCCCACCCCTCCCTGCCCAGATCCCTCGCCCTGGCCAGCCGCCCTGTGATCTGAGATGGCATAGAGAGTTATGCTCCCTGGGAATGTGTGTGTCGGCTTTTTGGAGACCTAGACTCCCACACTGAGACCCACGTCTACACCAGAGGTGGCCTTCTTCCTCGCAGTGACACAAGCTCCGACTTTTAGGAAGGCAGCTCTAGAAGGCTCCTGCTCCACCTTCCCAGCTGCTGTGCTGCTGTGCTGAGCACAGAACTTCCAGAAGGAGATGTGCCCAGGAGTGCATCTGGGGTTCCCCGAGGGCCACTGCGGGCCAGCTCCTGGGTCAGGCCCGGGGACACAGAGACAGGCACAGCTCCCCTCGGCTGGACTCACTGCTGTGGGTGAGAACAACACGTAAACACAAGGGGACAGGGTCCTGAGTCCCAGGGAGAGCAGGCTCCAGAGAGGGGCAGTGCTGTTTCTACCCAGCCAACCCAGGTGGATGCTTCCAGAACGCCTCCGGGTTCTTGAGGCCGAAACTCTAAAACCAGAGTTTAGAGATGCAGCCAGCCACCAAGATCCGGGAAACGGGTGACATTGAATTTAAATGGTAAGAATGTTTCCTCTCCTCCCTGAGAGGGAGTGTGCAGGTTTTCATCTGGTTATCATGAAGGATTTTCATTCTCCCTCATGAGGAATTCAAGAGCCCCTACCTTTGGCTAAGGAGGCATCCCAGGTTGAGGGGACAGCTTCTCAAGCCTCAGAGTTTGGTAGTGTGTGCAGTGCACCCGGAAAATGGAGTCTGAGCAGGTGGGGCCCCCAGAATTGGGAAGGATGCAGGGGGTAAAGTGCCAGCCCTCTCTGCCTGGGGGGCTGTGCCAGGGCTCAGAACGCTACGTGCTCCTGTCGCAGGCTGCTGGAGTCCTCTGCTAACTTTGTGTTTTCTGGGCTCTGCTTTGAACTGCTGATGCCTCCGTTTCTTAGAGCCCTGCCACATCCGCCCCTTCTTAAACTGGCACCCCAAGGTCAATAGGAGGAAACTGAGGCTCAAAAAGGGGGTGGGGACCATCAGATCCCCGCTGGAAGAGCTCGGAGTAGGTCACGGCCTCCAGAGAAATGCCGCCTGCCCGCCGGCCTGGAGCACCTGCTCACTGCCCACCCGGGGAGGCGCACGCAGGGGCGGCCCCTGCTCCCTCCCTCCCGCCACCTCCGCATCCTTGCAACTCCCCGGTCATGTATAAAACATTCCCAGAAACCACTTATTCCTCATGCATTTTCCATGAGGCTGGGCCCAAGTTAAAACATATAAACATAAAAATATCAAGAAGCACTTTTTTAAAAGGCCATGTTTCCTAAAACACCAAGAGACCCATTTCCGCGCGCGTCCTCCTCCCCGGCCGCGGCCTTCCGGGGTCGCCTGCTGTCCTGGCCCCGCTGCTTCCCTCCGCTTTTCTCTCCTCCGCTCTCTTGGCCCCTTTTCTCACTCTCTGCCTTCCCTGGCCCACGTACCTCCTTTTTCATTTTTCTCGGTCTCTCCTTTCTCTCTCTTCTGAAGCTGTTTCCTCCACCCTTTACCTTGCTCTCTGTCTGGGTCCTGCCCGCGGCACTCTATTTTCCTCATCCTCTCTCTCCATGTCTTTTGACCCTCTTTCTCTGCGAGGCTCTGAGTTGGCCTCTTTTTTCCCTCCCTGCTTGGTCTCTGCCTTTGCCAGCTTTCCTCTTGTTCCCTCTCCTCCATGATTTCCTTTTAGCTGCTGACCAAGAGAGTTAAAAGTAAGAGAAACGATGATGGAAAACCAAGAACTTGGGAATGCGTGGAGTCCCCGGCCCCCGGCCACTGCTCGTGGGCTTTGTGATTTGCTGTGTACACTTCAAGAACTGCTTGGCGGTCTCTGCTAAGGAGAGCATGTGTTCCCCATGACTGGGGATCAGCTTGCTGGGGTCTCCCCAGGAGCACCGAGCGTCTGTGTCCCCCGGAAGGCCTGGAGGAGGGTGTGTTCTCACCAGCTCGGTGCAGTCAGGCCTGGTCTGGAGACCGCTGATCTGACCATCGTCAGTAGAACAGACAGCTGGACTGTACTGCATTCATATATTTGAAATATTAGAGAGTAATAATAAAAGTGAACTACAACTGCAGGTGATAATGTGAATCAATCTCTAAAACTTAATGGTTTGCAAAGCAAAACAAAAAATCACAAATATATGCTGGATGACACCATTAACATAATGTTCGAGAATCAGCAAAACTGATCTTCAGTACCTGCCGGAAGTCAGAAGATGGTGTCTTCGGCCAGGGGCGCGTGGCCTTGGTGGGAGGGACACAGGAGCTCCGTCTCCGGTGCCGGGATGTCTGTCTCTTGATTCAGTCGGGGCGTGAACAGGGGCTGTGCAGATAAGATGTGTGCGGCTTATTAGACAGAAATTTGGCCCCAATTACAGTGTAATGGGAAAATAAGAATATGCAGCATTGTTTATAGTAATAATGACAATCTTTACCACAATCGGCGGACGATCTGGACAGATTCAGCGGCCCTTCACACCCTGTGGATTGAGATGGAGGTGGTGCCTCTGTCCCCCACGGCTGAGAGCACAGCACCCTACTGGACCGTGGCAGACCCTGGGACCCAGCACCCCGAAAACATAACCATGACCAGGAGAGGACGCTGCCCTGAGCTGCTTTGGGTCGGCTTTCTTCAGAGACGCTGACGCCATTCCGTTCCCTTCATCGGGGACCCCTCGGAAGCTCTGGTACCTTTCCCTGTCCCATCTCTAACTAGTTTGGTTCGGGTTTAACTCAACATTGGCCCTGACGATCAAGCAGTGAGTAAACAGCACAGAACCGGAGCCCGGGTTAGCGGGGAGAAGGTGGCCTAGCCAGAAACCTTGGGCACTGTTCTCCCCGAGCCTCGGGATACTATTAGAGCTACCCTGGGAGGCTGGGGAGGGCCCCAAACTCCGGCTTGGCTCGGCTCTGGGACTCTGAAAAGGCCTTTATTTATGTTTTTCTTCTTTATTCTCATCCTCTCAGGAGGGGAGGAAAACACAGAGCCCAATTTTCCTCCTTCAACAGCGTGGGTGTGAGCCCAACACACACAGCCCTGGAAGGCGAACGAAAGCCGCACTCATTTTCGTGGAGGGGGGGGCACCGAGACCGAGGGGACTCCAGCACTATTAGTTAAATAATGGTGCTTAAAAATGCATTGAATTTAGCCGCCTCCTCCCCTCCCCTAAAAAAATCTGGAATTTTCCTATTGAGTATACTTTTTCCCCTTGCCCATGAATATTAATGCTCCTCTCAGAGAGATCTACTTGAAAAAAACAAGAATAAATTAAATACCTACAGATTTTTCTAATTCCTCTTTTTGGTGACATGCCGTCATTACATCAAATTATTGAGATGGGCTCTCGCTCTCTCTCTCCCTCTCTCTCTTTTTGGGTGAAAATTATGGAATATAAAGTATATGTAAATGCCGCAAAGGAGGAAAAAAAAACTGTGAAGGAAGACCGAGGGGAAGGAGAGGCATTAGGTATTCTGCCGGCGTAGTGCTCAGCCAATTAATCAAGCAGCGGTGAGAAAAGGGTGCAGAGGGATGAGTTCGCCCTTCATGTTGATGGGGCCGGCGCAGGCCAAACAGCGCAACACCTGAGCTCGCGGTGAGGCTTGCAGAAAGGGATCATGGGAATATCTTCCCGGCTTTGTCTTTCCCGTGAAGCATGGAAAATGTCAAGCTGTTGTTTGGCTGGGTGGAGGGGGCGGGGTGGGGAGAGTCAGGGAGAATTCACAGTCTGGCGAGGAGAGGTTTTAACTCTTTGAGGACCCCGCTGTCTCCCTCCCCACCCCCCAGCTCCACCTTTGTTTCCTCCTCTTGGCCCCCAGCACCTCTGTAGGGAGCTCTGCCTGCAAGCAGCGAGTGGGAAAGGGCTGACGGAGGGTGACATGCAGGCTGGGACGGACGATGCGTGTGCGCGTGTGTGTGTGTGTGTGTGTTCTTGCCTGGGCGCGTGTCACAGGAGGAATATTTCCTCTCCCCCAAAAGTGTTCTTTGTTCACTCTGCACATGAGGGTGTCTGACCCTCCTCTGCGGGCCCCAGGACGTCCCTTGCTGGGGAACTGCACCCTGAAATCTGAGAGCGGCGGAGCTCAGGGTGGTGCTGGGTTTGGGCCGAGGCAGAGGACGCCTCTGCGTGGCCTTCTGTGGGCCCACCACTCTCCAGGGCCAGCCCCAGACCTGGGCTGGCTCATCCACGAGCCCAGTGTGAGCCCTGGATTCTGAGGCCAAGGCAGTCTCAAAGAGTGGTCCGTGGACCCCAGCAGACCCTCCCACCTGAGAGCTAGCTAGAAATGCAGAGTCTCTGGCCCTGGTGCTACTGAGTCAGACTCTTTACTTCGGCCACATCCCTGGGTGACTTGTGGACACACAGACATTGGGAGAACTTGTTCTAAGATAAACTCACTGTCTGAAATCTGCATGAGTCTGACACAGTCTAACACAGCTTCCAGTCTGTACCATACAGTGCTAGGTGGGTCCTGCAGGGGCTGAGGGTGGGCACTGACCTCACACTCATGGAGGGCACGCTCGTGTCCCAGGGGAGGGCACGGAGGCCAGATGGCAAGGACACTGGCTCAAGGACACACTGCCCGTGAGTAGCACAGCCAGCATGTGCCTGAAGCACGAGAGCTTCCTTCAGGTCAGGAGTTCCCAAACTTGACCTTGCACCACAATCACCCAGGGAACCAGAGGAAGCACACATACCCCAGGCCCAGAGGTCTCGGTGGAGGCCCAAGTGTGAATTTCTCAGCAGTGACCAGATAGGGATGTGAATTGGGAAGCCATTCTTGGAAAAAAAAATGTTTTTGTTGTTTTTTTGAGACAGGGTCTCACTATGTAGTTAAGGCTGACCTGGAACTCACTGTGTAGCCCAGACTGGTCTCGAACTCAGAGCGATCTTCCTGCCTCAGCCTCCCGAGTGCTGGGATGACAGGTGTGTGCCACCACGCCCGGCTTGGAGAATTTTTTCTAACTAAAAGCGACAGCTTCTATGAGAAACCAACTGACTTAATGGTGCCCAAGTAGGACTGCGATTTGAATCAGTGTCTGGGCCCTAGAAAGGGGCCAAGAGGAGGGGTGGTCTGCAGGGCAAGTCCCAAGCAACCGCGAGCAGACGAAAGAGAAAGGCCCCGCGGGAGGGGAAACCGCCTTTGGAGCTTGACCCGCTTGGGGCACTTGCCGCCCTTCCTCTCCGCGGCATCTCCACGGTAACCGTCGCCTCTGTTTTGTACCCTGCACGACACACGTGTGACAAGGAGCTTCGGCCCCGCTCGTTAGTTAGACGTTTGCACTCCCAAGGCCCAGCGGTTCCGGCCGGGTCTGTGCTCGGAAGAGAGCTGGAGGCGCGGGCGACCCGGTCAAGCCCAGACGTTACTTTCCCGTAGGTGTCTGCTTCGGGGAAGAATTCCATCTGCTACCGGACCAAGGAATACAAGCTGGGAAGTGAAATGCCGTGCGCCCTTCTCCTCCGGGGTGGCTCCCTTGCCCTGGTTCTGTCGGCAAACGCTGGCTCTGTTAGATTCCCCCGCTCCCGCCGCGCCGTCTGCCTGGCCTCCGCCTCCCCACAGCGTCCCCTCCCCGCCTTTCCCTCGCCTCTCTGCCAAATTCAGACTGTGTGGGAATCAACTTCACTCCTCCCTGCACACCTGAGAGCAGGACCGCAGCGGGCAAACCGGAAGTCCGTCTGGCACCCAGGCCCCTTCGTGTCAGACACAGGAGGAAGTGGACGCCGAGACCGGAAGTGTAGAGTGAGTCGGGAGGCTGTCCCGGCCCTTGTTTGAGGTCAGATGATGGAAGGGATCTTCAGGAGCCGAAGCGAAGCAGCCGGCAGGGCCTGGAGGGCGGAGGACTCCCCAGGCCCAGGAACACAGTGTGGTCTTGACCTAGAAAGAAATGGGGAGTTATGGAGGGTTCTAGACAGAGTGAACACTGGGTCGTTTTGGCCTTTTAGGGAGGATTCTCTGTAGGGACAGATGAAAGGAGAGAGGCCAGAGGGAGGCCAGCTGCCTCCCATTCACCATAGCGAAAGGATTTTAAAGGAATTCTGACAAGATGTCAGTGAGAAGCGCGTGAAGTGTGGGTGTGTTCGCAGCCCTCTGTCCCTCCCAGGGCCTCTCGCAGCCGGGTCTCTCTCCAATTTCCGCCTCGCCCGGGCACCGCCCTGCACCAGGACTTCCGGCTGTGACGGGAATGCCGCAGACCACAGCCAACGGCCCCTGAACGGTGGCTGGTGGGACAGGGCTGCCATATTTTAGATTTTATTTAGTTAAAACTGATTTCCGTTTGGATGCTCTAGCCACAGATATCTGCGGTGTGAGACAGCACACGCCTCGAGGGATGTCCGTAAAAATATGGACATTAGCTCCGGGGTTCCGCTGCCCTCACTGCAAGCAGAAGGTTCGATCCCCAGTACCCCGCCCCCCAAATAGGGCCTACATCTTTTCTACTGTGCGATGAGCCCCTCCGGTGGATGGATGGACGTCTGAACTGATAAGTATAGCAGGTGCTTCCCAGCACAAGTGGAAGGGCTCCTAAATAAAATTCAGAGACACAGAGTTGAGATCTGCACTGCATCACTTGCAAATTAAACGACCTGAAGCAAAGTACAGTGGTTCTCCGGCTCGTGAGCTCAGTTCTCTCCCTGCCTCTGGTCCCAACCGAAGTGGATGAGGACTGAATTAAATTCCCCGTAAGGTCGACACTGAACCCGACCATCGGCTCTGGTTCAGTTCTCATCCAGCTTTGTTTGTGACCAGAATTGTGGGAGGAAGTAAGTTCATGAACCGGGGTCCCGCAGCATTTCACCTCCTCGCCCCTCAGTTTCCTCACCTGTAAAACGGGGGCTGCAGTAGATGTTGTTACAATGCACTACGGCGTCTAATGGGTCACACGTGTGGGCCAACTCTATTGCTTTCGTGCTCAGTAGGCGGTCAAGCAAGTAAGGCAGTGGCTCTCCACTAAAATTTGATGCGTGAAGGTAAAAATGAATAAACCATTATTTACAGTAAGAAACATCAGTCGAAACAGGATAATCAGTTTCTGGGAACAACCGGACACGTGGACGTGGTATGTAGAGAAAAATGGGGGCGGGGGGTCTGGGGCTGGAGGTCAATGCTTGGGGTCCACGGAGATTCTGGAGTCACGCAGACCTGGGTTCAGATCTCAGCCCTTCTGCTTGCTGGCTCTGCACGTGTCTTCTCTGCTGTGTGTTCTCCACCTGCATCAAGCAGCGTGGGGGGCCGGGCCTGCGTCAGAGGATTTTAGGAAGAAGACATGAAATACAGCCTGTAATGTCACCAAGCTCAGTCCCAGACTCACTGGTGTTCAAGGGTCACAGTTCCTCAGCTGGCCTCCGGGCAGGGGAACTGGCCTAGCTCAAGACGGCGAAGACCTCCCCTGTTCCAAAGGGCAGCAATAATAGAGGGAACCCCACAGTGAGGAGGGCAGCCAGCTTCAACTGAGCACCCCCACGTGCCTGACATTTGGCTAAATTTATGTGTGTTAATTACTCTAATTATTCTGTGCATTTCCTCTGAGGCAGAGCCTGTTATACTCACAGAGATGAAAACCAATTACAGGTTAGTTAACTTGTCTAGGGTTGCACAGGAGCTGAGATTAGAACTCAGGTCACCTGCGGCCCCAGGTACACCTCATACAGCTTAAAGTACACAAACAAGGATGCAGAACATCTGAGTGTTTAGCGGTGGCTTGTTTGATTTCAGTTGAGCCGTTCCCGAGTACAAAGCACTTTATTCGCAAGGCTCACGCAGGCTCAGCGAGGTAATACCCCTCGCTGCGATTTACACGGCCAGGAAGCATCGGATCCCAGCTCTGGACACAGGACGCAGATTCTAGGCTGGGGCGTCGCTGCACGGCCGTTCTGTGCAGAGGAAGAGGGGGGCAGTCTGCACACAACTTCCCCAGGTATAGGCTTCCTTCTCCCCGCGAGCCCTGTCCACCTGGGCGCAGGGCTTGGGTGAATGCAAGTGTTTGAGCTCTACTCAGTGTCCTGCACCCGGGCTCGGACCTCCGGGCCATCCTTCCCAGGACAAGCCTGCAGGGCTCCTGAGCGGGGCACAAGCTCTCAACTGCCAAGGTAAGGATGACGAGTCGCTGCCTTCGCAGGAGAAGGCCTCCGCCCTGATCAGCCGGGCCAGCTGGGAAGAGAGGGCGGCTGGAGACCCACTTCCCCTCGTGCTGAGGCACTGGTAGCCTCGCTGGGCTTCAGTGGCTTCCATCTCTGAAAAGAGCAGCTCGTCCCAAGCTCTTTCCCAGGGACGATTCCCCCTCTCGGTGTGTCATTCTGTGAGTGATATGGCAGAAAATGTATTGCGAGGATATGATGCTCACGACCAATTCTGAAGTGGAAAAAAGACTGTAAGGGAAAACAGCAGGTTACAGAGTAATAGGCACGGTATGACGCTGTATTTTAAAGATACACACTACTTAAATGTATATTTGTACGTGTAAGTATATATTTTATCGGGAAACGATCCTGGAAGCGCATATAGCAAAATGCTAATGGCTGCTTTTTCCAGGAGGTAGAAATGAGCAATCTCTAAAACATATCCCGTCCCCTGCTCTGCAACCTGCAAGGCACGAGGCTCTGCTCCCCTCTGTCTGCTCCGCACTGGCCCACAGCAGGCGCACAATAATCGTCAGCCGCGTGACGGAGAGAAACCATCTCGGGCTGCTGTCTGCGGTGTGATGGAAAACGGTCGCGAAGGTCTGCGTGCTGACGGATGACCGTGAGACACACAACGCTCCGGTCACGTCGATCTCCCCGTCCTGGCCACCACCTTCCGAAGCACTTCTGGAGTCTTCCTTCGCGAGTGTCTCCAGTTGCACGCTGCGGCTGCCTTCAGTGTCCCAAATGGCTTCAAAACGTTTACGCTTCGTGGCCACTTTGACTCTAGGGGAAGAGCCGCAAGGTGCCTAGAAGCAGGTCCGGTGAGTGAAGAGAACAGGATGCTCAGCGGCAAGGCCACACACCGAGAGGTCGGACAGGAGACTGATCAGGAGAGCACGTCAGTCAGGGAGAGAGAGCAAGGAAAGGTGGTCCTTTCATTGGTTTTCGGCTGGGCTGCTGTTATCTGTGAGCAGGTGGGCTACTTTAACCTATCGCTGGCCAGGTGCCTTTTATGGGTTTACCTTGAGGGTGCTTAGACGTCACTTCCCTAAACTATTGCAGCCTTGGGAGAAGGAAACAGAAGGGAACTTAAGATAAGAGCCTGATGTCATTTTAAGAACATGAAGAACCCGGAAAATACAGCCTGTGATGGCGGCATCAGGTCCCCAACGATGAACAGGGTGGAGAGGGCCGCACCTGAATGCTTTTAGGAGCTGCTTTTCCCCAGATGGCCCCTGGTGGCAGCCCTCCAGGTACTTCTGCTCGTACCGCATAAAGACACTCTCGAAAGGAGACCTCCAGAACGGTTCCAGACAGTGGCAGG